CCATGAAATTATCTACTTTAAGAAGAAAAAATTTAACTAAGCTTGGACGCTTGACAATGTATCTACCTGGAAGGTGTATTTAAAAGAAAAAGCCTTTTTATCTGATCCCATAATGCAATATAACTTAAGATATATTGAATATTCTTTCCGATTTACTAGATCGATTTTATTCATGTAAAATGACTTAAAGTTAAATAATTTTGACAGGTAAGATACCTTGGAATATATTTGTCCTAGATTTTTAAATCAGAATACCGAGAAATAAAAGATCTTAAATCATGTACCAAAAGAGACCTCAATCTGTCCTGATTAGTAATCCTCTTTATTTAGCTTAATTCCAAATTAAATTGCATTTGGCCTTGCTTCTTCCTCTTACAGCTGCAACTGCTGACACAAAGCCATCTGCTTCAGTAAGCGTCCGACCGAAAGAAGGTCAAGACCTAAAAGGAACAGCCGCTGTTGTCGGCGGTCTTGATGAGGACTCCGAGTCTTTCAACCGGAGTACAAGCCAGCATCCGGCCAAGTTCTCCAGTCAAACAGGGGAGCTTGAGTCAGCCCGAAATTCCGGTCAAGATGACAACAACAGGGCTTCGAGCAGCCAATCTGAGAGTGTGGTCAATCCTCTACATATAGTTCGCCAGACCTGCCCAATATTAACTGGGGCAGTCAACGGAAGAGTGAATGTTTCGGCTGCAGTCTCATCTTCGAGTAGCTACAACAAGAGCAATCGTCAAGCCAATTACAGTGCAACAAACAGGCCCGACAGCACTTCCTCCTCACAAAAATACGGTCCTAGATCCTCTCAGTGTCTAGAAGTACCATCCAGCAGCTCCGTTCACGAAGTCACCTCCGACAGTAGAGACGTTGGCAGCAAGCCAGACCATCCGACTTGTGGGAAACAAGCTTCTTCTGTGTTCGCTGAAGCTGGGTGCAGAAGATCGGCTTCCTTTCGAATCAGCTCAGCGAGTCAACTTATCTCTCCACCTCCAGCTTCGTCTGTATCAACCTTTACTGCCGATACTCTTCCGACAAAAAAGTTCTCCACCCTCGCACGAATCGGGTGTGTCGGGTCGACGACTGCAGTAGCCGCTGCCGCTGTCGCGGCCAGTCGGAGAGCTGGAATTGGGGACTTTGGAAGGCAGACATCCTTTCAAAAGGGCCCTTTCGAGGCCAGAACTGACTGTCCGAATGAAACACTTCCTCCAACGCCCAGCCCTCCTTCGGTTGCCTACGAAACTGGCAAGCCACATGGGCCGGAAATAGTTGTTCACCAACTCTCCGGAGCGGCTAACCAAGCCAGTGCAGTTAGTTCAAGTGGAATTAGCCAGATTTCGAAAAATCTCTGGGCAAGTTGATATCGTAAAAATATCGTATTTATTATAATTACAGATATCCATGTTCCCCAAAGAAAGACAGACTAATTAAGCTCCGTCCCAAGGTGATTTATGCATGACATGAGACTTGTCTTTTCATCACAATTATAAGTCTATCTTTGTTTCTTTTTTCACCATGAAAATAGCTATTTTAAGAAGAAAAACTTAACTACGAGCTTTACTCCTTACAGGCCACTTAACACAATGAAGAGCTTATTTTATGTTTGTAAGTAGGCTCTACCAGTAGCTCAAATTTATGAGATGTATTCATCCTAGTTCGTTTACAATGCTAAAAAATACTGGTAGTTAAATTTTACCCCATTGAATTTCACATGGCCTTGCTCATCCAGGGCGGACTGAGGTTTCGACCTTACCTAAATCTCATCAGCGCGAATATATCTCATTGAAAGAATGGCTGATTGTCTGACAAGAGTAGGCCTAAGCATTTCATTTAATTTTTACCTAGTCTCGCCTTCCGGAATGTATCCTCATACAGACTAGACCTCAATTTTGATCATGCTTTAGTCCAACCAAACACACTTAGCGGGAATCTGACCTTATTAGTGAAGTACGTATTTCCGAGATGTAACCATTACTCAAATAACTCTCACCTAGTAGCCCTTTTCATAATTATGCTAGGCCGAAACCTGGGTTCATTCTGTATGGGAAGTGAAATTCCCTGACATCGTGAGACCCAATAATATCATCTTGGTAAACTACAACACTTAGCCCTTAATCATCATAGGCAATTTATGGTCACTGCGGACGAATTTAAGATTTAATAACAGCACCGAAAGCTAAGAGTACTGAAAAAACCTATAGTAATGCACAGAGAACCAATAAATAAAGAACTGAGTTACATTCAGGCTAACTGGGTATTAGAACCTACAAGAAAAAAAAATTGTTTGCAGTTATTATGCATTATTTTGAAGAAAGCTTTATCGGGTGATGGTTAAAGTAAAATATTTGGTAAAAATAGTAGGTAAGTCTGAAGTATGTGTTAGGCATGTTATATCAAGCAAAAATTGTAGGCTTTTCGAAAAAATACTATTAAAAGATAATAAACATAAAACGAATATGTAATCTGATATTTTTAGCAGCATACTTTTGACAATAAGAAAACTTAGCACTTAATCCTTATTTTTATTTTTAAAGTAACTAATAGGATTCACCATTTAACGGTTGTTAGTTTATATCATTTTAAGATAAAATTGTGTCATATTGCAGAGCATACTTAATAATGAGCATGAATTTTATATTAATATAAGTAGTATAAATCGATTAGTGAAATATTCTGACATGACTTTCTATTTAGAAGTAAATGTTGTTTTCAAGGAATTCGTGATGCAGTCTCACCGAAAACCGAAGGAAGATTGCCGCGTAGGGAAGACTGTTGTATCCATCGAAGAAGTCTTCAGCTCACAATCCTGCTAAGAGATAAGGTTTTCTCTTGGTCTATTATATTTCTGCGTTAGTTCGTAAAGTATGGATTCTTGCTCTGATCATTTTTGTTAAAACACAGACAAAAGCTTGCATAGGTAAATCGGGGTCGTAGGACGATGAATCGAATATTTCTTCGTACAAGAAAACAGTCTTGCCAACTCGGCAATCCTTATTCGGTTTCCAGTGAGACCATATCAAGGCTCAACTCTGAAAATTATCCTACATTCTATGGTATCCGGACAGGGTGCGTTCCTTCAGGTCCCTTTGAGAATAAGATCAAGTTGCAAAAACAACTTATATACAACGAAAAGGAACAGCGACCATACAAAAAGCCACACCATCTTGGTCTTACTACCTTAGATTAAAACTAAATATGGTTCACGTATATCGAAGTTGGTCTTTGGATTGTACTTTGAGCATTGATTTTTAAATTAAATTAAATAAGTGGGGAACTAAACATTGTTTTCCCATCAGATTGTTATACGTAGCATTTCGAACAGAATCTCTTCCGGGTTTGATTGAACTTTGCTCTTAATCAGTTGCCATAGGCGACTATAACTACAGCAAAGTTAAGAATTCGGATTAAGCAGAGAGCTGCTTTATCTTGTGTATGGGAAAGTGGAGCTACTACATTAATATTATAGTACATAATATAATAGAATTTACATTATAATGTAATATATCAATTAGAAAATTTTTTTCAAATATATATATTTAAAAAAAAATAAAACTTCAAAATATAATGACATTATTTATCTTGGCAATTATTAGACTGTATAGATCAACATTTTATCTTTATGAGTAGGAACTTTATGGTATTAGAGGAGAGTTTTACAATTTATTATAAACAGATATATGGGTAAATTTGCAGTCTACAAAATATTCGACATTTATTTACTTTGTGAGATTTAAAGCGGCAGTCTAAGGCAGGCAATAAACTGAATGTTATTCTGATAGACTGATATTTACTAAATTCGATCAATGTCAAAATTAATGGTTATTGTGGCATAACTTTCCCTTTTAAAGATAAAGTTGGTTGGAAGGAATTCGTGATATGGTCTCACCGGAAACCGAAGGAGGATTGTCGCGTAAGGAAGACTGTTGAATCGTGTGAAGAAGTCCTCGGCTTGTCGTCCTGCGAACCCGATGAAAATATGTTAAGCTTTCGTCTGCACCACCGGGACAAGCATCCTCAGAGTAAAAGTACATACTTCACGAAATCGAACAAAAATATACTAAAACAAGAGAAAAGGTGACCAACTCTAACCCTAGTCGCTTTTTTATACACCAAATATCGCAATCTTAATGAGGCCTCTCTTGATTTGGTTGGCTACTTCAACCTTACTTTACTTCCCGAACCGGAACTGCGTTCGGTGGCAGCTGTTTCATGACATAAAAACTAGCGTACGATCGTCTAATGTTGAAGCAGGTTTGAGCTTGTGCTATTGTCGATTGTGTGCATGTAATGCTCATGTCATGAGTAGTATGATAGTCCCAGCTAGACACGAGGCTAATCCAGCCTCACCCTTTTGTTCACTGACTCTTCCCTTCCTTAAGTCTATCCAACAGCCACAAAGTTCCTACTTAGCTTTCTACATTCAATCCTCCTATTCAGGACGTTGGCTATTTTGTATTTCTCATCACGATGTTCCTATGGGTTGTTTACTCGGTAGACGTTATAATCTACCGATATCCACAAATAGAGAACTTGATCAAGTATCGTGTGGTTTAGTAAAAACTAGGCTCAAGGAAAGCATGACCAAACTACACACATTAATTAGAACGAAAACCCAGCTTAGACAATCTCTCTATTAAATATTGAAGAATGTGGATTTCATTAAATTACAAGACATGGCTGACGGGTTAGTAGAGGCGATTGACAGAACTACTCGTCGGATACATGATAAGAATCTCCGGAATTTAGGAATTAGAATAAGGTCGAGAAACTTTACACCTAAGAAAAATCTTAGTAACGATGTTTGTAACGAAGTGGGAAAGAATAAGTTAATCAATCTATCTAGTACAACTCTGGAGGATAGTATAGTACTTTTATTGGAAAGAGGACTTAATTTTGCTCTTCCAAGTGAGGTAAACCATCCTCTGGGAATACTTGTTGAATTAATTAGCTTATCTGATAGATTATCTGAAGAGGTAAGGAATACTATTAAACTGGATGTGATCCCTCATTTCGATCATATAATATCACCTAAGAAAGATTAGTAGGATTACTAGATATCTGTGTAATAATAATCTAATCATAATGAAAGCCGACAAAGGTGGAGCAGTGGTAGTCATGGCTAAATCAAGTTATGCAGAAAAGATGCTAGTTCATTTAAATGTCAATGACACGTATAAACCTTTATTGAGAGACCCACAGAAAGACTTAGGACTAGTCTAAAGGATGCCCTTAAGCTATGCATAAGTAATGGTGAAATGGAGAGGTGGAAAGTGAATTCACTACTCCAGAGAGATGCAAGGGTCCCCACGGTTTACGGTCCCCCTAAGGTTCACAAAGAGGGTGCCCCCCCTAAGATTAATCGTAAATAATAGAGAACGCGTGATGCATAAAATCTCAAGATTTTTATGCATACAATTAAGGAACCTTGCCAATTATTGGCTATATTCAGTTAAAAATTCGTATGATTTGTGAAAATGCTATCACAGCAGACAATTTCAGAAGATGATAAGCTAGTAAGCTTTGATGTTGTGTCTATGTACACATACATTCCTGTCTAAGGAGCTATTCAAGCTCTGATACAAACTCTGGAGGAGCATCCAGATATAACACAAGGAATAAGGCTGAGTGTAGCTTCCATTATTAGACTTATTAACCCATTAATGAGTACCACATATTTTATCTTTGATGGTGCGTTATACGAACACACGCAAGGATTAGTGATGGGATCTTGCCAGTCTCCCATCTTAGCGAATAATTATATGGCAAAATTAGAGAAACACATCATGAAAGAGGCAATACTAACACCCAAATTGTTGGTTAGATACATA